AGCAGCAGCCCCCACATGCCGCTGGGCCCCCAGAGCACCCGGTGACAGCTTTCCCCTCGAGGGACGGCTTCCCCCCGCGCCACCGAACGCTGGGCAAGCAGCGAGGGCTGGACCCCGACCGCACCGCCCCTGCGCTGGGCGGGGGGACAAAGCCCGTTCCCTTCTGCTCCACCAACCCTCGCTGGCCCGGCTCTTCGCTCCGCAGCCAGGGTGAGGAACTCATAAAATTAACTGGGACAGTTAACCAAACATTGTGCACGGGCCAATGCAACCCCGGAGCTGTCAGGAGGAGCTGTGGACGGGCACTGCTGGGTTGATGCTGAGGCTGCCCTGGGTGCACCGGCTCAGCCCCAGAGGGCAGTGGGACTGGGGCACAGTGGGGGACCCCATCCCCAACCCCCACCCGCACTGCAGGAGCCGCTCGCTGCCCATTCAGCGCAGTCCGGATGCCAACGCAGCCGCTAAAGCCAGACTGATTTTATTCAAATTGCGAATGTAAAACAGAATAATAAAAAAAAAAACAAACAACCCAACCCTCACTGGCTTCAGAGCAGAAAGCCGCAGGTAAACCACGCCCGAGCTTTCCTTCTCCTCCTTCGCCCTCTCATGTTAAGGCTGCATTTGTCACTGGTGACAGGAGGGAGGAGGGACGGGGCGAGCCCCTGCTCCCGTGACCCCCTGGCTCCTTCGTGGGAAGTTTGGCACAAATCTGGCAGGGCCAAGCCCGGCACAGGACAGAGCAAAGCTCCGGCCCCACGGCCATGGGTATTAGTGGGTCAGCGTGAAGCTCTAAAAGCTACAGGATTACCTACGGGGCCGCAGCGAGGCGGCAGGAGGGCAGACGGGGGGAATGTGGCAGAAGAAGGGGTTTGCACCCCTGGCCGAGGGGCCAAGTCTGCGGCACGGGGCTGTGTGTCCTCACCCCAGCTCGCACACACGTCCTGACTGTAAACGGCAGGTGATGAGGGCACCCGGCTCACCCCAAGCCTGGCTCCACGGCGAGGAGAACTAAAGGCCTGGCTGCATGTGCAGTTGTGGGCAGTGCCTGCTCAGCAGCCCCGGGCTGAGCGAAACCTGGGGCTGCGATGCTGCACCCTGGGGAGTCTCAGTGCTGGCGTGGAGGAGGGGGGAGGGAGCCTGGGGCTG